CTGAGCAGGTGGTCTTTAGCAAAGTATTTAAGCAAATGCTTTTGACGCAGTCATTTACCTATGCTGGTATGCAAAGTAGTTTCGTTTGTGCTGGTGGAAATGTGCCAAAGTGTGTATTAAGCTGTTGCATAATTCTTTATCATTAGGGCGTTAAATTTATGAATCGTAAAAGTTAGATTAGGAAAGTATCATTTCATGTTTTGTTAAATATCATGGTATTTATCAAGGGTGGAGATGCTGTATTGTATTTTTATTAGTTTCTTTTTCGCTATCATTCTACAACTGTAATACAGGCAAATGTACCAGAAATGTGATTTAGTGTTGATTTCTAGTGAACAAAGTAGCTTCGACATAAATACTTTTTAAGTAGTGTCGACAGCAAGACTTTTTGAAGGTGCTTGTATATTTAGCATTTTAATGTTAGTTTGTTCTGTACATGTGCATTGCTGTTTTTTGAGCTATGCATCATGCCATGACCACTGGTGGCAAATGATTGTAAAGAATCATTAAAAATGTTATTTGAGAAATATACACGAATTAATTATACATCAAAATGAACTAGAATTCCATGGTCTCATACCTTTGCCAAATGACTTTCTTTATGACTTAGAAAGTATACATTAACTAGAGTTCGACAATCTCATACCTCCATGACATGTTTAGTGCTTTCGTAAAGCTTATGCATAGTGACGATCACATAAATGGCTTACATTTACAATCCTGCTCATTAGCAAAATTTTTATACAAATTATTCACATAGCCCCTACCTAGTAACATACAACACACTGGTGAAATGCTTACCATTTAACATGGAAAAAGTATGATATTGTTGGTTATATGCAAGTATGACCTCTGACATACCTTTGCCAACTCATGTTTGCCATCCAAGCTGACGAATTATACATTTTTTTACTGCCAATATGCAAATTATAAGAGCCCATTTGCATATATTATATCATATGATCATATTCTCCGCCCAATGACAGGGTTATCTTAAGAAATAAGGCTATTCTAGCGTTTCCTCATAAATTATGCAAATGAGGTCCTGATTTGAATAAATTATGTTTAGTGATGTTCGCCTTAATTGAACTTCCAAGTATGGCAAGTATTAAATTCACAGCAGTTACCACCATAAAATTGTACCAATTTGCCATTAATTATGCAAATTAGGTCTTCATTTACATAATCAATATCTACCAATGATCTTGTTGTTCTCAATTACATATGTCTAAAGTGTTTCATAGCCTTAATATGGAATACAGCAGATTTATAGAATTTCCTCATTAATTATGTAAATTAGATCCTGATTTGCATAATTGTATTTTAATCATGTCAAGCATCATTTCAGCTACTTACATACCAAAAATCATGACGATCCATCAAACAGTTGTTCAGTTATCCTCTCTCGAATATTTTAAAGAAACCATCCTGCAGTTCCAGAACAAGCCGCTAGGGGGTCCAAACTCATGTGACTTCTTCCCAAGCACGAGAGCTACCTATCATCCAAATTTCATGACCCTAGCATGTCCAGATCGCGAGATATCAAAACCGGAAGTTGCGCTGCAGTACCAAGGGAAGCCACTAGGGGGACCAAAATCTAATCATTTCCAGTTTTCGTCACACCCTACCAACACACCAAGTATGAAACCAATCCATCCAGGCGTTCTTGAGTTATCTTGTTGACCAACAGACGGACG